GCCTTTCGGCTTTCTCGTCTTCTCGTTTTGCGTTTCGCCTGGTAGGTGAACGTCTCTTCAGAGGTCTTTCTGCACTGTTTGGAGGCAAAATGATCGAACTTGAGGCAATCTAAAAAAAGTTGGATAATGCATTTTTAGTTTTGACAGTGGAGAATTATTTTAACATCGTTTACACAGGGTGTGGTTATGTCCAGAATGCGTGCATGCATGTATGCATAAAATTAATATCAGGGCATGAACCACGAGGACATTTCATCTCTGAACTTCTTCAAAACATTTGGGTTAAATTCAACTTCAAAAAGCTTAGCCTTCCCTCTCAGAGTACAATTTGTACATTAACGACAAGTTTATAGAAGCTAAAATGCTTGAAATGCATGTCGAATTCAACATGCCTAAAATAAGTCGGCATTTCGTTCTGTACGGATAAAAGTTTCAACCAAATTTTAACTAAATTAATTTGACAGAGAGTGTTCATAAAGCTACAAGGCTTTACTAGAAGACGTTCTAGTTGTAAAAGGAAAGCTTAAAAACAACAGTTAAGGAAACGCCTTTAGTGGCCATTTATACTTACCAAGTACTTTGCGTTTTCGACCATATCGGCGACTTAAATTAGTTCGCTTTCTCTTCAAATTTTCGCCCTGGAATCGAAGATAAACTAAATATGAGTTAAATAAATCAAAGCTGAGGTATTTCTGAACATTACTGCTATAAAATGAGGGAGAAATACCAAGCAAATAAAGCGACTAAGCGCCGAAACGAAGCGCTTGAATGGAATCGAATTCAATACATCAATGAATGAGTGTACACACGTGTTTCAAAAAACAGCAATAACTTAAGAACAACAACTCAGGAACGTTTAAAAAATAGCTAAATTTAATACTGACCTTTCTCTCTGCACGGCATATCGATTTTATTTCGAAAAAGTTTCATAAAAGCGAAGTTTTGTTGCAGCAACTGAACAACATAATTGTGTGCTCTCTAAACTTGGAAGCCTCGAGCAGAAATATTCAAATCTGCCACGAATGCGTAAACCACACCTTGTTTGCTATTGTCAGATTTCTACGAGCTCTGATTGGTTTAGCTTGCAAAAGCTTTGCTATCATTGGCTAAACGCATGATTGGTCGGAACTCCCTTGGGGCTTGGAATGTTTTTCGCGGGTCATTACCTATTACCGTGTTTCCTATTGCTGTGTTTCCTATTTATTTATATAAAAAGGTGTAGAATGATTTTCAAGATATTTTAGTGAAAATTATTGCAAAATTTAAGCACAACAATTCAACAAAATCATAATATTACTGCTATATAGTCAGGCGTAAGCGGGTTTAATACACAATTTGTTTTTTCTCAAACTTGAAAGTCATTCACTACAAAATTTATTTTTGTGATGGTTTGTTGTTTCTTTTAGTTTGTGTATCTAGCTCATTTTAGTTCAATATTCTTCTTTACTCTTTAGGTATTAAATATGATTTAAAATGTCTTAATTTTGCTTATGTTTGCTATATTTAGCAGTTCCCACAACTCTCTTGACATAAAACTGAGCATAATTTTGAAAACGGGTGTATATAACGTGTAGTTTTGTACGTTTTTTTTTTCACTCAGTCTGCATTTTATACCAAGTCTGCAATTTTAGTCTGCAATTTATACCTATTGAAATTCTGCATTTTGTACTTGGTCTGCAGATTATACTGACCGTTAGTCAATGCAAGGAAAGATTAATATCTATATTTCTCTTTCAACACAGTCTTGAATATTGTGACTAAAAAATCTAAAACTGATTAAAATCTAACCTGATTATCAGGCCCTTATGTTTTCATTCGCCAGGATTAATTGGCGATACTCAGGTTAATTAAAATCCTACTATTTACAAATAAAAATTGAAAATTGGCGTTCTTATTTATAATTTAAACTAAGGTTTTAGATTTTTAGTAACAATATTAAGACTGTGTTGAAGAGAAATATAGACATTGATGTCGTCCAAAAGCACAAATTTATCGTAATCTTTCCTTGCTTCGACTAAAACTAGTAAAAGAGACTTTGATATATCGAGTCATTGATATACTATAATTATTTATAGTAAATTCTTAATTTATACCGGAAATAGGAAACACAGCAATAGGAAACACGGTAATAGGTAATGGCCCGCGCGCCAGGGAACACAGCAATAGGAAACACGGTAATAGGTAATAGGAAATAGCCCGCCAGGAAACACAGCAATAGCAAACACGGTAATAGGTAATAGGTAATAGGAAACAAAGCAATAGGAAACACGGTAATAGGTAATAGGGAACACAGCAATAGAAAACACGGTAATAGGTAATGGCTCACGCGCCAGGGAACACAGCAATAGCAAACACGGTAATAGGTAATAGGAAACACAGCAATATGAAACACGGTAATAGGTAATAGGTAATAGGAAATAGGGAACACAGCAATAGCAAACACGGTAATAGGTAACAGGAACCACGGTAATATATAGAAATAGCGAAACCCACTTTTTCAACACGGAAATAGGAAATAGCAATTACACTTCTGGGCTTCCGCAGTTCACGGACTATGTAACTCCCTTGGGGGAGCGGACCAGGACGAATTTGACTGAGGTTGAAGAAGTTAATAACTGAAACCGTTAATCAAAAACAAATTTGCAAAGTAATTATATTACTCTTCTATAAGGTTAACAAGTAGCTTTCCTTCGTAAGTGTGTGCATTCAGAAGTACCATCTTAATCATTTCACAGTCCTACGATCTTTCAGAAACAATACACCGTTTTTGAAAACAACCCCGATTTTTCGGTTATAAAGTAATAAACTTCCTCAACCTATAGGCTGACCATCAATCATGTATTGTCACGAAGGGGTCCAATGGGGATGGCGAAAGGCAACTCATTCAACTTAAATAATTAAAGGAGATAATATACATAGCCGTGTGGAAACAAAAAAAAATGATCAGTGTCTCGCAAGCGAGTCAAGCATGCAAAGAGTGGGATATAAAAACGCGAGAAAATAAAATAAAATTGGGAAAATAAAGTCTTATATACCTTCACATGGAAACAACACAGAACTGAGACCAAATAAAATGAGAAAACCAACATTAGTCATCTTATGAAAGTCAAGTCTAGATAGAAAAGGAAAACAATCAAGTATGCAGTTGTTCCATAATGGATATTTACATAAATCTTAGTTAATGTATGCAAATATCCACTCGACAATTTACATCTTCAATACCTATCAAATATTATTACGAATAACCTATACATGGCAGTACCGTATACTGAGTACCCTATAGTGTACATGAACTTGTGGCTAGAGCTCGACAACTGGCCTCTGCAGCTCATGCAGTTGGTTAGAGCTCTGCACCGCGGAATCGCATGGGCCACGTACAGGTTCAATTCCTACCATGCAAGGACCTAAAGTTGCATTTTTCGCTTCTGTTCCTAGTTAGGTCTAATAAATGTATTTAAATTTCCACTCCACAATCTCCACCTTCAATACCATCAAGTCACATTGAGTAAATAAATTGAACAATTGCATGTATAATACAAGATAATCATATACTGCATGATATTATATCTGGTTGCAATGAAATTTATGGTTTCATACGAATAACAT